ATTATATAAGTAAATTTATATGTTAGGTCCATTACTCTGTCAGCAGTTGGCAAGGGGGGCAGATTGGAGGTAGAGAGCCAGTAATGAGGCTGATGCATTCATTTGGTGGTGAAATGATGGGGTGGGGTGAGGAACGAATGAGAGAGATGGAGGAGGAACAGTACAATTTGGAAAGTGATTGGAATCTGTTCAGAGGGAAAGGGAAGTAGCAAGCAGCCTTCTAGGAATTTGGTTGGGCATTGAGGACACTGGTTTTCTGCATATAGAGAAGCAATTTACGAGCCTTAGACATACTGGACTTGAGGCACATATGAAAGATAGTAGATACTACAAATATATTGGAGCTCAGGAGAGCAAATAAAACGAGATAGATTATGTTTGTAGTGATATGCTTTCATTTCTTTTTTATTCCTTTTGTGTAACTTCTATGGGTATTTTAATTCTCCCACACATAGACTTTATGTTGTGGTCGTCACAATTTACATCTATTCATGTTATGTATTTTTTTTTTACATATTTTAGTTAGTTTTAGTACATTTCTCTTTGAACTTTAATTTTTAAAAATCCTCACATGAGGGTATATTTTCATTGACTTTAGAGAGAGAGAGAAACATTGATGTGAAAGAGAAACATTGATTGGTTGCCTCCTATACACTTCCTGACTGGGGATCGAACCCACAACCCAAGTATGTGCCCTGAATTGGAATTGAACCCACCACCTTTTGGTGTATGGGACGATGCTGCAACCCACTGAGCCACTGGACAGGGCAAGAACTATCTTTCTGGTTGTTACAGTTCCATGGAACCCGGGAACATAAGCCTCCCTGTCCTCCAGGCTAGGAGATCTTGGGGCACCCCTGGGTGGCCACCATAGAAACTGGGCCACCAGACATGTGTAGATGCTCCTCTTTGTGAGAGAGTGGTGCTCTGCAGCCTGTTAGTGGGAGAGTGTAAAGACAGTGACCACTGGCTGGAGCAAGGCAGAGGGGGAGTGTAAAGATGGCAACCTCTAAAAAAAGAATAAAAAAGAAAAAGAAAAAAATGGCCCTAGGGGGAGTGTAAAGATGGCAACCTCTAAAAAAAGAATTACAAAAAAGAAAAAAATGGCCCCGAGACTATCCAAGCAGGCCTCTGCCTTGCTGACCAATGTTATAAAATAAACAAATGAGTCTTTTTTTCATGTAAATTTGGGGCTCATTTCAAAAGACTGCTTTAGCACTGGCCATAGGGTGGGTGAGTCTGTGTGGAGCCCTCTAGGAGCCTGTTCTTAGGCAGCTACAGCCCCAGGAGTCTGGTGGCTGTGAGCCCCACTGGTCTTCAAAGCCACGTGTCTTGGAGGCTCATCTCTCAGGTGCCTGTCTTAAGAGTTGGGGTGCCTGATGTGAGGTATGAACCCTTCACTCTGCATGGTGCTCTGTTTTTTTTTTAAGTTTCTTCCTGATGGTGGGTTGTTCCATTGGGGGGTGGGGTTTATGGCGAGAATGTGTCTCTACCTGCTTCGGTATGGTTTCCGGCTTGTTTACCTGATGTGAAGTAGTATCTCCACCTTTGTTTAGGGTTCCCCACCGCCCCCCCTCCCCCCAACATAGTTGTAGATGCAGTGTGTCCATGGGAGGAGGTGAATTCAGGATCTTCCTACATTGCACTCTTGAATTGGAACTCGAACAGAAAGGATCTTGGGTGCGGGTTTACAGCACTTACTTTTATGGAAAAATTTGGGCTAAGAGATAGTGTTTGCATGTTCTCATTCTCGTCTGCCCTGTGATATTTGATACGATAGCCAAATAGGACAGAATTTGCATTTATTTCTCAGAGAAAAGACCATCTTAATATTCAGTTGTGACATTTTAGAGTACACCCAGGTTTGTTTTGGGTTCAGATTTATTCCCTGGGCTTTTTTTTTTAAGGTTTACATTTTGTCTGTAATGAGTTAAAAATATCAACATTCAACAAATTATTTTGGGATTCTTGAATTATTTTAAATTACCACCCAAAACTTTGAACAAGTACAATCCAGGCAATGCTTAAGGTAAGGTTCAGATTTTACTGGAAGATATTTGACATTAACTCAAGCACAGTGGCCTATTGGAATGAAAAATCTTCAAATTGAGTTAATGTCAAATATCTTTCAGTAAAATCTGAACCTTACCTTAGCATTGCCTTATTTTTATCTTTTTTTACTTCTGCTTCATCTACAAGGTAAAATTAGTGCTTTTATTCTTTAGCATCTTTAAGTGTATATGTGGGCAGGTATTGATGGAGTGTGTTTAATGGGATCTAACAAAAAGCTACTCTACAGATTTTATGACATCCCCTTGATAATTATTTGTTTTTATAAACGAAAAAATCTACTTAAATGAATGAATCATCATAGTTTGAGTATTCTGAGCTATTTAGTATCAATCAATGGAGGCTATATGTCCTGATAATGAAAATTCGAGCTAAAATCTCCACATTATGCAGACTCTGACCTTTAATGAAAACAGTTTGTGGTTATGCATCCTTACTGGATTTTCTCTCTTACTTCGTTGGCTGTAGACGGGTTATCTGGAATTATTGGTTTTCATGTTTCTTATTTTGAATGTATTACTGTATTAATCCGGAAGTTTCTATTTGGAGTTGTATAAAAGTTCACATAGATGTGAGGAAGAAATATCTAAGAAGTAGAGTAATATTTCTCAGGGAATAGATTGATTGGCAAAATAGTTTGTATTATTTATAGATAAAATTACTTAAATTGTTTAAAATTGTAGACCTGGTATTATTTTGATTTGAACATAGAGAGAATAGACCAAGGAATAGAGCAAGGCACAGAAACAATCACATAACATAATAAAACAGCGAATATAATGGTTATTAAAATTATATTAAAGAAATTTGTTTACTCTGCCACAAAATGGGAAAATGAGCAGACTTCGGCTGCGTTTGAACTGATGGGTGGGACTGGTTCCCATTTAAGGCTCTGAAAATTCTTCCTGTGATTTGAGGCCCAATTCAGTTTCCCTCATGTCTTTTATCTGGCCCGAGTCTCATATCAGGGAGTCTTTTCTGTTTCAGCACATGTTACTTTTATCTCCTTTTTGCATTCTCTTCACTCACAATGCCTTGTTTGAGCTAATGATAAAGTAGCAAGAGCACAGCATTGTGGTCAAAACCCATTTCAAACTAGGAGTCCAGTTGACTCACTGGTGAAATGGGAAGGGAGCTGGGGCCTCCGGTGGTTCCTGTGAGACTTAGATTGGAAGGCATAAAGTAGTGCCTGGACCTGAGCAGGCACTCAAATGTCAGAGTCCTTCCTATTTTTGAGGTTCATGCCTAGCTTTCCGGCAGCCTGTCAGTTCATTTAGCGCAGGAAACGTGTTTTATATTCACAGTGCCTTGTGCACAGTAATGTCTAAAATATCGCATTGTTGAATGTAATTTACCAGCCTGCTGTGGAAGCTTAGTACTGTTATTTTTTATTTCCTTTTCCTCTGCCATCTTGGTTTGAGATAAACAAGTTGCTTTTGTGAAACTGAGGATTTAATTCAGCAGAATGCCGTTATAATATGACTTATTCCATGGCGTTTGAAATAGTAAGGGTCAAATCATTTCCCTGGAAACTTAATCATATTCTGTAAAATCCTATTAGCCTGTCTCATACCATCACAGTCACAGTGGAGTTCTGGTGTGTTTAAGATGGTGAAGTCTCTGTAGAAATCTATCTAATGGCACACAGTGAGCATATGGAAAACAAATGACATAAAGCGAGAGGAAATGCAAATGTCTTGCAAATGACATTACGTGACATTTGCAATCACTAATCCTCCAAAGTAGGCGCTAATTTACTAAAATAAACCAAGAATTCAATTTGTTGTGAGCTCCCTTTGCTTAATTAATTATTAGTAGCAGAACAATATTCTGCGCTACACTGCAATTTGTCTCCTTTGTGTTTATCTAGTATCTGACTTAGAAATGAACAGAAGCCCTGGCCGATGTGGCTCAGTTGATTGGGCATCCGTACACCAAATGGTTGCCAGTTCGATTCCTGGTCAGGGTACAAGCCTGGGTTGTGGGTTTGATCCCCAGTTGTGGGGGTGGGCAGTGGCGGGGTGGGAGAGGCAATATCGATGTTTCTCTCTCTTTCCCTCTCCTTTCCTCTCTCTCTAAAAATCAAAAATATTTTTTAAAACCGTGAACAGAAACATGCTGATTCAGCAGAACTGATTTTGTAGCTCACCTGTGTTATAAAGCAGGAATGAATAAATGTTTGCTGAACACACTGCATATGCTTCAGTCATCAAAACGTTAGTTTTCTTACCTTCCCAAAATATGAGATCTGAGAGAGCTTCCTGATGGAAACTTGCTGGGTGCCTATTCTGCAGAGATATTTCTATAGAGACAAGCAACTGTTTTTACATAAATTGTTTCCATGGTTGGAATGTGAGAGCTCTTTTAACACTTTCTCATTGTGATTTGAAATTATACATACATTCATTGTACATTTTTTCTTTAAAAGTAGTAGTGTATGCTAAGACATGAAGAGTTTTTTTTTTTTTTTAATCCAGTATACTCTTTTGTTGAAATGAGGACTAAGTGGGCTTTCATTTATGCAATAACGTTGGTGTACATTTTCTTATTCTTTTTAAAAAAATATATTTTATTGATTTTTTATAGAGAGGAAGGGAGAGGGATAGAGAGTTAGAAACATCAATGAGAGAGAAACATCAATCAGCTGCCTCCTGCACACCCCCTACTGGGGATATGCCCGAAACCAAGGTACGTGCCCTTGACCGGAATCGAACCTGGGACCCTTGAGTCCACAGGCTGACGCTCTATCCACTGAGCCAAACCAGTCAGGGCCATTTTCTTATTCTTCATAATCATTTTTAATTATTTTATTGAAAGGCAACTAGTTTGTATTTGTTATATCTGTTTCAACTTTTCTCTGTTAGCTAGTTAGACCTTTGAGGAAAAATAATGCTGCTGTACTAATTATTTACTTTCGTTTTAAATTTCAGTTTCAAAGGACATTTGAATCTCTTAAAAATGTTTCCAACAAATCTGACCTCCAGAAAACCTATCAGAAGCTTGGGAAGGAGCTGGAAAATTTGGATTATTTAGCCTTCAAACGTCAGCAGGTAGGATGGGAACTCTCCTTGTGGAGATGATGAGTACTAGGCTTTGTGCTGTCATGCCTGTCAGTTTAGGTGGGCCTGGGGCAGTTACATTCCAATGTTTAGGGCAGAAATAGGCTGTGCTATGCTGTGTTGACCTGTCTCTTCATAGGACTTCCTGCGGCGTTCCCTGGGGGTCTTGCTTTTAGATGTGCACTCTGGGGGTTTCTACATGTGTCCTTTTACTTCTCTTAAAGAAAACTCCTGCTGGCTTGTAAAGGTACAACTTCCCTTCAAGTAAGGATGCTTCATTGGCATAAAGGGAACCTCTGTGAATGCTGGACCAGGTGGCTTTTATATTGACAGGGGGATGCTTGAGAAAAATCCCCTGAAGACCAGGTAAAGGATGTGGTTGTACATACAACATTAAGGAAAAAAAGTCATAAATATGCCAACATATGAATCAACCTTTGCTTTGCTTATTTGATCTCTGAAGATTAGTAAGTTTTCTAAATGTATGAGGTTGAAGAAAAATATACTTTACAAATGCAAATCTTTTTGCCTCCTTGAATAGATTTCAAGATAAATTCTGAGCCCAAATAGAACTGGTTTGCTTTTAGAATTAATATTTTGTAATATTAACAATAATTCTCTGTGTTTGTGAGATTCGACCTTTCCCAAGCTGGATCTTCATCCGTTTCTTCACAGCCACTAGGTGTCAGGGTTGTCAAGCTTTTACTTTGACGTAATGTTTATTCCCATCAGAACTGCCAGTTAGATGTTTAAATGAGGTTGCATGAAGTTTGGGAAGGTGCTCACTGATGGATAGCGTCTAGAAAAATGACTAAGTGGGTGACTCGGATGGCCAGGCACCAAGTCCATTACTTAAGAGTCTTTCCTGTTAGTGTGGCAAAAGGTGTGACTCTCTGGCCATTGCCAGTTTCACTGATTTTGGATCTATGGGATGGGGGTTTTCAAAGCAGGACTTGCTATGTGTAGTCACACCTCATCAAGTCAGCATAGTATGGTGAGGAAATACTGACTTGAAAAGAGAATTGTGTTTTAGGTTTTGCTTTATTGCAGACCTTACGTGAGCATTTAACCTTTCCAAGGCCCTGTTTTCCTAGGAGCTATATTTGTTTTGTAGAAAGTTCTGGGGCAAATGCAATAAATTTATATGAAAAAGGACACACTATCCATTTATGTTTTTTTAAACCTATTTTTAAATTAGTGAGGGCCTAGGTATTAATTAGCACATGCGACGAAGCAGTTACAGTTACGGAGCTTCCAGATTCTGCTGCTTGATATTCACACCACGAGTCACTGCTCTGGCCATGCAACTTTTAGTACAGTTTTGTGTCCAAGAGCCGTATTTTACCTCTGAGGAGCATTTGAGTTGGCAGGCAGTAGTCACTGTTCCCTCTTCTTATCCTTTCCCATTAACACATTCTCAGTGATTAGATTCTTACATTAGCTAATTGTCACTTTGGAAAAATGGGAATGCTTCAAGGACAGACCTCTGGGAGAATGGCATTGAGGACAGACAGGTAAATTGCATGTGTATGTGAGAAAAATATGGGCATATATATATATATATATATGTAAATTATATATGCTATTTATAAATGACAACTATCTGCCACATAGTGTGTTTAATACACTTATGGATTAGATAATTAAATACATTATAAAGGGCTTGGTTTTATGAACACCATTTTACAGATGAGAAGACTGTTGCCTAAGATCACCGGGCGAATAAGACACGAGGCTGGTCTTCCAGGGTAAATCAGTCTGACTCCAAACCTGGGCTTTTCCGTGGTCTCGTACCCAATATCCCTGCAGGAAGCCAGGCTGGGGGAAGTAAAGTGAGGAGTTCTAGGTGTTCGGAATGAAAGTAATTTTAGGAGAGGCTGGACCCAGGGTACCGATTTTTAGGTAATTTCTACACAAAGGTGGAATATTGGCGCTAGATGAAAGGTAGACCTATTTTCTACAATGTCTCCAAGTTCCATCTTATTCTAATGACTTGTTTGCATGTAACTAACATTTTTCTATATCATGTTGGTTTTTTTCTCTTTAATGCTCAGGAGTCCAGGCATAGGGGACAGTTAGGTTCAGGGCCTCAGGTCTGGTAGACTTAAAGAAACATTTGAAAATGCCACCTGGTGAGAGGCAAAAGACGGCCAGTTCTCGCTCTTTCTCTCATGCAAGTCGTGCAGTATCTCCGAAACCACAAAAGGATTTTTGAAAGACTCTATTCAGACAGCTAAGAAAATGTATGAAACTTTACTACACGATTTTCTAAGTGTTATGTCTAGCAACTCTAGTTCTAGTGAAATTTATTCACACAAAGCAGATTTTGAGCTCAAAGGGCCAAATCCATATAAAATGGGCTTCCCTGAGCAGGTACCATACTGTCAATCCTTTGTCTTACTAGACTCCATCTCTTCCTATACCTACTGATCATTCTTTTTCTTCCTGGAAAAGATAGAAGGGGAATTGGAGGGAAGCGGTCAGAAAGAGAAGGATGGTGGGAAGTCAGGGACCACAGAGTGATGGACAAAGAGGGAAGAGACCAATAGGGATAAGATAGGAGGAATAAAATGAGGGAAGTTAAACTGTAGTTGGTTTTATACTGTATGCATCTAGTAAGTTAAAAAGGTTGATTTTTGAAAGTTAAAAAAAAAATCTCAAAATAGAAAAAGGGAGAAAAAAGGAGAGGCTACAAGAAGACATAGTGAATGAGGGAGATGGCAGGGAACAGCAAAGACAAATTTTGTTTACTTCCCATTTTACCTCGGAAAATAGCAGAACTTTCTAGAAACTTGTAATATTAACCCAGTTCTTCTGTATGAAAGCCCCTGAGGAATTGCTGTTTCCTGGGTGGGCAGGGTTCAAAGAGTCAGAACGTGTGCTCTTCCCTGACTTGGTGAGACTTGCCCTTATATTGCCTACCCTGCCCCTTGAAAGGCCCCCAAACCTCTAAACACACACTAGTGAGTTTCTCCCACTGGAAAAGATTCAGGAATCTGTAAAATTGCAATACAGCAAGAAAGCTTCTGCCTCCTACGGCAGGATCTTTGTCCAAGAGAATTAGTCATGGCTTGTTTTCCGCTCCAACCGTATTCATCATTCCTCGTGTGACAGCACATAGGCTCCGTAAGGACAGGGCCTCATCTGTCACCTTCGCTGCTGCATTCTCTGCGGTGCTCACAACAGTACCCGACCCATGGCAGACGCTCAATAAATACTTGTTGGTGCCGTTGTTGCTACGAACAAGAAAGCATACAAAAGTTTTGGCCTCAGATTACCGGCAATTAAAATTGATGTTACCACATTTTTAAAATTCATAAGGGCATTAACCCTCGGGCTTCCCGAATGCCAGAGGCTGACAGATTGCCCTTAGACTTAGGCATTATTTAGGTGTTCTGCTGACATGTTTCATTTCCCATCCATTTCTTTACAAAAATATTAATGTTACAAAATATTAATGTTACCTTAACTATGAGTTATGGATGTTCAGTGGATCAACTATAATTATCTTGGACTCATTCATTAGTTTTTATTTTGTTTCCTTTTTCTATGACATTTTAAACATAGTTTTGAGAGATTTCTTTCTCTGGGCCAGATAGATTCCTGGAGTATTTTGTTCTATTCTTTTTAACTCCATTTTGGGGTTTGTTGTACTCTCTCTCCTAGGTGTGAGCTTAACTGTTTCTTTCCTTATTTTCTTTTTTAAAAGAGTGAGTGCTTACACCTCAGCTATCCTTAGGCTATATTTTAGGTCGGGGCACAAGCATCTCTCCATTTCCCTACTGTCAAAAAGAGTAATGGTGAAAACAGCCTTGGTAGGAAAAGGTGAGCGGAGGCCATGATAGATGAGGTGGTAGGTTTTCCAGGACGAGTCAGCTTGAAGTAAATGATGACAAAGCAGGATTAACTGGAGAATCTAGAGACTTTTTCAGTTTTTAATATCTGGAGATGTAATCTTAGAGTTTATGTGCTTGGACTGTTTGGTTTTTATCCTCCTGGTTGATATTACATAGGAATGGTAATAGCAAGATTCAGCTGTTATATAGAGCCCAGATTTATGTATTAATTTGAGAAGTTATAAATCAAGAGATTTCCTTGGGGCTTTGATTAGGTGGAATAAAATAAAATAAAGTTTGATAATCTGGACTCTAATTTAATTCCTTTTTAATTTAATGTAAATTTTAAATGGATTTATTGGGATGACACTGGTTAACTAAACTATACAGGTTTCAGGTGCACAATTGTACAACACATCATCTGTACACTGTATTGTGTGTGCACCACCCCAAGTCAAGTCTCTGTCCATCACCATTTATCCCCCCCATAACCTCTTCCACCTTCTTCCCCCATCCCCATGGCAATCATCACACTGTTGTTTATGAGTTTTTTTCTCTTTTTTGCTTTATTCCCCTCCCTCCCCAATACCGCCAGTCTATTTTGCTTGCTAGTTCATTTTATTAATTAGATTCCACATATGAGTGAAATCGCATGGTACTTGTCTTTCTCTGACTGTCTTATTTCACTTAGCTAATGCTCTCCTGGTCCATACGTGCTACTGTAAAAGGTAAGATTTCTACCCCCCCTTTTTTATTTTTATTTTTTAAAATATATTTCTTTATTGATTTCTCGGCCCCGGTGAGGTCGGGACGGCCCCGGTGAGGCTGAAACGGCCCCGGTGAGGTAGGGATGGCCCCGGTGAGGTTGAAACGGCCCCGGTGAGGGCGGGATGGCCCCGGTGAGGTTGAAACGGCCCCGGTGAGGTCGGGACGGCCCCGGTCAGGTTGGGACTGCTCCAGTGAGGTTGGGACAGATAATGGGGACCAGTATAGACTGATGAACAGGGGTAGATGCAGAGGCAGAGCAACATTGAACAGACTGTCAAACTACAGTGGGAAGCCTGGGGAGGGTTTGGGGGGGGGATTAAGAGATCAACCGATGGACTTATATGCATGCATATAAGATTAACCAGGGGGGGAAGAAGGAGACATATG